ATATTAACAAAAATGTTTTTCACTCAAATGTTTTTGTGGACCTGGAGAAGGCTTATGACCATGTTCCACGAGCATTCTGTGGGGGGTGCTGCAGTAGTGTAGGGCACCTGGGTTGCTTTTAAGAGCCATCCAGTCCCTGTATAACCAATGCAGGAGCTGTGTCCACATACTGGGCACAAAGGTGAGCTCATTCCCAGTGCAGGTTGGACTCCGCCAGGGCTGTCCCTTGTCTTCGATCCTGTTTGTGGTGGTCATGGACAGGATTTCGAGGCACAGTCGTGGAGAGGAGACCAAGACCTTCCATTTGCACTGGGGGAGTTCACAGCCAATTGTGACTGTGAAGCAGCTGAAGTGAGAGTCAGTTCCTCTAAATCTGAGGCCATGGTTCTCAGCCAGAAATGGGTGGAATGCCCTCTCCAAGTTGAGGTGGGGGAGGACTTTGCCTCTGGTGGAGTAGTTTAAGTATCCAAGCATCTTGTTCACAATTGATGGTAGGATGGAGCAAGAGATCAACTGATTGGGGTCTTGTTCTCAGTAATGAGGACATTGTTGTGGGCAGTCATGGTGAAGAAAGAACTAAGTCTAAGGGCAAAGCTCTGGATTTACTGGTCTGTCTACGTTCCGACCTTCTATGGTCATGAGGTTTGGATCATGACCAAAAGAGCGAAATCCTGGATACAAGCGGCCAAAATGAGCTTTCTTCGTAGGGTGGCCAGGTTCAGCCTTAAAAATAGGGTGAGGAGCTCCATCATCTGGAGGGAGGTCCGAGTAGAGCCGCTGCTCCTCTGCATCGAAAGGAGTCCATTGAAGTGGTTTGGGCATCTGATTAGGACACCTCCTGGACACCTCCCTTTAGAGGTTTTCAGGCACATCCCACTGTTAAGAGGCCCTGGGGAACACCCAGAAGTCGTTGGAGGGATGGTGTATCTTCTCTGGCCTGGGAACACCTCAGGGTCCCCCAAAACAAGCTGGAAAGTGTCCCTGGGGAAAGGGATTTATGGGTTTCTCTCCTGGACCTGTTGCCTGCATGACTCGACTATGGATAAGCAATAGAAGATGGATGGTGGTTGTATATATATATATATATATATATATATATATATATATATA